GAAATAAATAGGGAGAGAGTGGGAGGCGGATAGAAGAGGGATAGAGGAGAGGATAGGTGGAGAGGAAACAAACAGGTCGAAGAGGCGGGGATGGAGCCAGGAAAGGTGAGTGTAGGTAGGGAGTTAGGAAGGGGATAGGTCAGTCCAGGGAGGACGGACAGGTCAAGGGGGCGGGATGAGGTTGGTCGGTAGGAGATGGAGGTGCGGCTTGAGGTGGGAGGAGGGGATAGGTGGGAGGAAGAACAGGTTAGGGAGGCAGGGACGAGCTGGACTGGTTTTGGGATGCGGTGGGGGGAGGGGAGATTTTGAAACTTGTGAAATCCACATTGATACCATTGGGCTGCAGGGTTCCCAAGCGGAATATGAGTTGCTGTTCCTGCAACCTTCGGGTGGCATCGTTGTGGCACTGCAGGAGGCCCAGGATGGACATGTCTATCTCTGTTACGTTATCCAGTTGTTTCTTAAAAGGCTTCAAGAGTTTTGTCCCTGCTATCCACCTAGAAGTCTGTTCCTGTTCTACACATCCCACCTGTGAAGACACAATTCATAAATTTGTTTTACACCTGTTTCAACCTGTGTTTCCTTGTTCTCTCTTAGTGTCATAAAGACAAAAAGATCTACAGATCTACAGAAAAAAGCCTTCAGCTCATCGCATCCTCGCTGGTCAAAAACAAGCACCTAACTATTCTCATTCAATTTTCCAGCACTCGGCCTGATATACCTTAGTATTGCAAGTGCAAATACAAATACTTCTTTAATGTTATGAGGGTTTCTGCCTCTCTCACCCTTACAGGCAGTGAGTTCCAGATTCTCACCTCCCTCTGGTGAAAAAGACTTTCATCAAAACTCCTCTAAACCTTCTGCCCTGACCTTAAATCTATGGCCCCAGGTCATTGAGCCATTCATTAAGGGAAATAGTTGAAACACTTCTGGAAAAGGTCAGAAATCACACGCTCCGAAAGCTTGTGATTTTAAATAAACCTGTTGGACTATAACCTGGTGTTGTGTGACCTCTGATCTTGTCCACCAGTCCAACACTAGCACCTCCACATAAAGTTCTGGAAAACAGTCAGGTCTGCACGGCTCACTATCTTATATATCTCCCTGTTGCTCGTGAATCTCTAATTTTTAAGATATTTAAAGTAAGTTTCTCCAGTCAACTCAGTTTGACACAAAGAATATCCTTTTGACTCCACTACTTTGACTAGTATAATGTCTTGTTGATCAAAGGAGGTCACGATAATCAAGGTGCAGCCTTCCTGTGACAGAATTCCATATGGTTTCAAAATAACATCCTCTGTCTTTGAACCCTGCTGATTTAGTATTTAGTTCAACATTCATTGTTTTTTGCTTGCTGTACCACAGCATCTGGATGGGAGTTAATTAAAAGCCCTGGAACTCTTTCCAACTCCCCCTTAGCTACTTTGAACAATTCATTGTGTTCATATGCCACTGCTTCATTTTCTTAATGGTACACCTTACACTTGTCTTTTTTGGAGTTCATTTACTACAACTACATGCCCCAGTGCCTTACTCTCCTTCGTTATGATACTCTTTAAAACCTCTGTGACCATGATTTGGATCATCATACCTAATTTTAATTTATGTGGTTCAGTTTCAATTTTTTTTTCGTGATGTTTTTGTGAACCATCTAGGAATGTCTTATTATGTTAAAGTTAATATCAAAATATAGTGGTGCTGCATGACAACAACTCGTTGTTGTACAACATACTTAGATGCTTGTAGGCTACTGAGCTGAGAAAATTGGAGGATATAGCATTACAACTTGTACCAATCTGTAAAATGAGGATTGATGCACTATAATAAGTCATTTGGCTTCTCTTTTGGTCAGAGGAACCACTCAAGGTCAAATGAGAACTAAGTAAATTGCATCCAAACTGCAAGAGGATGAAATGGAAAACGATGCAAACCATTCCCCGCAAGGTTAAAGCATTAATTTGTCTGCCTTTTACTTTAAACTTCTCAAATATTGTATTTCTGTTTCTTAGATGATGAAAAAGGGGGTCGATTTAAACATGCTGCAACGCTGGGAGGTAACCTTTCCCCATCACTGAAATCTTGCACACTTGGCTCAGGAGGTTCTTACGGTCTAGGTAGGAGGCACAGTGATTGGGATCAGGAAGACCTCATTGGTGCTATTGGAGGACGTGCCAATGTCGTTAGTGAAGAAACGCCTGACAAGGAGTCAGCACCACTGAGGGCACAGCCAGAGCAGCTGAAGGTTTTTCGTGGAGATGCTTTCAATAAGTCAGAACCCACATCACCAAAGACTAGACGGCTGTTTTATTCAAACAATCCCAATGATTCTTCAGCAAAATCTAACTTCCCAGGTAACTTATTTCCCCCTGAAGCATCGCCACGACATCATAGAAAGCCAATGGCATTGAATATATCTGAGCCTTTTTCTGTGTCTGTGCCATTACACATCTCAGGAATTATCAGCCCCACCACCACATCCTGTAGACAACCACAAAATCTAAAAGACTCAGCTCTTCAAGAATCAACAAATGGAACATCTCAAGATGAAAGCAGTATTCTACCAGTCACCAAAGACAGAGAAGGAGATCCTCACAGTGAGCAGTCCAATTCAGAAAACCAGAAGCCGAATGGTATGTCCCATACACTGCATAGATACTCTGTTTACCTTACACTGTCAATATGATGCAAGTTAGAAGTGTTAATCATCTTATTCATGAGCTTTCTGCCAAAACTTTGAGTAAAATATTAAGAAGTAGGCTATGTTTGTTTTTTCTCCCCTGTAGAAAACTGTAAGATTTTAAATCAATTCAAAATTCATAATGTCCTTCATAGTTGGTTAGCCATTTAGCATTCAGCTATCACAAACAATGAAAGATTTCAGCAACAGTATGAACCTTCACGAGAGGAAAAGACATTTTCCAGGCAATAAGCCCACGTCATTTCAGAAAAATACATTTATTAATAATTGATCATTTTCAGTTGCTTCAAGATGTCAAAGAAAATGTTTTTCGGAAACTTCTTGTTTTACGTACAGACACAACACTATTTGAATTTCAATGACAACAAGATATAAGGAAAGAAGTAAGCCATTCAGCTCATTAACTTTGCTCCACCATTCAATGAAGTCATCAGATGATCTGATAATCCTCAACTACACTTTCCTACCTTTTCTCCATAACATTTGATTCCCTTATAGATTAAATAATTCTGTCTATTCAGCCTTGAATATAATTAATGACTCAGTCACGACAGCCCACTGTGGTAAAGAATTCTATAGACTCACTATGGTCTGACAGAAGAAATTCCTCCTCATCTCTGTTTTAAATGGGTGAGCCCCTTCCTCTGACATTATGCTTTCTGATCCTTGACTCTCCTACAAAGGGAAACAAACTCTCAACATCTACTCTGTCAAGCCCTCTAGGAATCTTATATGTTTCAATAAGGTCACTTCTCATTCTTTTAAACTCCAATGAGTACAGGCCCAACCAAATCAACCTCTCTACATAAGAAAATTCATGCCTAGTGAACATACTCCGAACAGCCTCCAATGCCAGTACATAGAGTCATAGAGATGTACAGCACAGAAACAGACCCTATGGTCCAACTCGTCCATGCCAACCAGATATTCTAAATTAATCTAGTCCCATTTGCCAGCATTTGGCCTATATCCTTCTAAACTCTTCCTATTCATATACCCATCCAGATGCTTTTTAAATGTTGTAATTGTACCAGCCTCCACCACCACCTTTGGCAGCTCGTTCCATACATGCACCAGCCTGTGTGTGAAAATGTTGCCACTGAGGTCCCTTTAAAATCTTTCTCCTCTCACTTTAAATCTATGCCATCTAGTTTTGGACTCCCTACCATGGGGAGAAGACTTTGGCTATTCATCCTATCTATGTCCTTCATGATTTTATAAACTTCTAGAAGGTCACCCTTCATCCTTTGACGCTGCAGGCAAAATAGCACCAGCCTATCCAGCCTCTGTCTATAGCTCAAACCCTCCAACCCTGGCAACATCCTTGTAAATCTTTTCTGAACCCTTTTAAGTTTCACAACATCCTTCCTATAGCAGGGAGACCAGAATAGAATGCAGTATTGCAAGAGGCCTAACCAATGTCCTGTGCAGCTGCAACATGACCTCCCAACTCTTATATTCATTATTTCCTTAGATAAGGAGACCACACTGTTTATCGTATTCCAGCTGTGTTTGAACTAGTGCCTTGTATAGTTTTAGTAAGACTTCTCTGTTTCTATACTCCATTCCCTTTGAAATAAAAGTTAACATTCCATTTGCCTTCCCTAATACTTGCTGAGCTTGTAAGCTAACTTTTTTGTGACTGTGTCACTGTTTTGTTTAGAAGACTACAGTGATGTTTATATTTGGAGAGGAGGGATTGATTTCAGTAGTCAATTTGCTAGATATCTCAAGCTACTTTAATCAATTGTATTTCTCGCTCTCAAAATCCATTTTTTCTTTCCATTTATGTAGATGACCAGGAAATTGAGAAGCCCCAATTGCAGCCTGAGCCACTCACTGATGATTACTCAAATTCATCGTCACAAGACCAGCCACAACCTTTCCCTACTCTGACAAGTCAACACTCTGATCCATTACAGCTCACACCCTCAATGTCAGTGTCCAGTTCAGCTGTTCCTCCAGACCTCGGTGAGAAAACAACACTGGATGGAACATCAGCTGCACTCCTTACAAGGCAACCACATGAAAATGGACATCAAACAGAATGGAGCTATGATATGGAAGAGCAAGTGGCAACTATACAGGTTAAATCATTGCATTTTTGAATCATAGATTGGCAGAGTTGGTGCACTTTTTCTTTGTTGCGCTGTAGAATGGAAACCAAAAGTGTACACATGGGTCTCAGTTATATTTTAGAGTGAAGCCTCCACAATCCACCTTCCTGGATTATTCACTAGAATTATTGCAAAGCAACTAATTCCTAATTGTGCAACTGACCACACCGTGTATCTTTGGGATGCTTTTGATTTTCAGGGTGAGACGATAGAACAGGCAATATGGATTCAGACTTCCGTAACTCACCTTTACCTGAAAATTAGGTCATTTCAGTTGACATCAGCCAGTTTAGTACATTCCAGGTATCAACGTAGACATCTAGGAGGCAAAATGAGTCACTACCTGAATTTGCCAAGCACTTAGAGAGTGCTCCCATCACAGTTATTTCAAGTATTGGTTGCTGAAGTCTTTTCTTCGAATTGAAACTTCCCTCAAATAGGTAGATCTGCTGTGGTGGAATTTACACTCACTGCCATGCTCCATAAAACACCAACTTGCATTTACCCACTGCCTTTAACTTGGTAAACTGTCCTCAGTGGATTCATAGGATTTAATCCTGTAACTCCTGTTAGAAATGAATATTTATGGAAAGGGATGAAGAAATGTTTGGATGACATTTGTGCCAATTTCAGTGTGCAATACATTTTTGACACTGTCAATATCCACACTTTATAATTTCACAAGTAACAACCATGCAAAGTTATTCTCAGATTGAAGAATCTATGTTTTGCCAGATGACAACAGCCTAAAGGACGATTCTAAGATATTCTGACTAATAGCTTCTGAACTTCAGGTGGTGCACTGGTGGGCAGGAAAAGGGAAATTGTTTAGGTTCAAGTTAGCCACCCATTCCAGTACCCACCCAATTTATAGCTGCTGCATTCAGCAGGACTATCCCTAAAACGTACAAATGTTTTTGAATAAGGTAATGATGATTCATGCATCAGAAATCTTACATTACGCCAATGCCAGTCATTTACATTAGTATCAAACGCACCACACTAAACAGCTGCAGAGACACATTGATTTCAAGGTAATGGTCATGGGAAAATCAATTTTTCAGTCAACTGTACATTTAGACCTTCTGACAAATGCTTTACCGACCAGCCTTGTGTCTCCTGCTCCTGGGTTTGCCCCACATTCAGCAATGCCAAAAAGGCCACATGGATTTCCTTGGGAAGATTCCCTGTAATTTAGTCCTCTTTGGAAAAATGAAGATGAGGGAAAAATAGAGGCCAGGCTTGTCAGATAGCAGAGGATACTCCTAACATCGAGTAACTCATGACCCTGCACCAGAATACACAGATTGTGCTTCTTCCCTGACCAATTGGTTTGAGGAGCAGTGCTCCTGGAGACTAAACTTCATAAACAATGCATTCGCTACATTAGCTCGTACAATCCAATAGTCAGCTGCAGCCCACCTCCATTCACAGGCACCAGTTAATACTGGAAATGTCACAACTGCCTAAGTGCACAAATAGTCATTCTTCAAATAATAGCCTTGATATCAAACAGTCAAAATGGATTGTCAGTGTGGCCCTTTGAACATTAGCAGAGTCTTTAAATACAACTCCCCTCTAGCTCTCCCTAACATAAAGTCCAATCAGACATCAGCCTATCACAGGGGCCCTATTTGTAATATTTCAATTAGTTCGACTCTTGAAGGTGTGGCGAGGTAACATCTTTCTTCCATTTTCTGTGAGTCACTTGACACCTTTTAGCACTGTGTAATTCCCAAAGTAGAAATTCTCAGCTTCCAAACTGCGTGATTAAAATGTGATTTAATAATTTGCTCTTTTTTCCATGCTGCATTATAAACAGAGCTGTCTAATGATTGTTTCTTGCAGGATATGAATTTAACAACATCTCTTCTGCAAAGTATCATTTTAGATCAATATCTGACTGAAACAGCTTTGTGTCTTGTCAACCTGCTTTTCATGTGGACCATAGATGTCCTCTAGCTCAAGAAATAATGTTTTACATTCTCATTGAGTTAGTATTTCCAGGTACGCTTTGCAAATTTCAAGCTGCGGGAGCAGAATTTTACCTGTCAGGTTTGTGCACTGGAAGTTCAGGCACACAACACAACTGCAAAAATAAATGGACAGAAGATTCAGCAAGGACCATTAATCTCTGCACTTGGATTTTCACTATATACTCCCTGGTGACCTCAAGGTTGCATGGTTTTGAATTCTTTTCCTGCAATGTCAGTTCAACACACTGTTGTCTCTCTCACATGCACTGTATGGTTGCCAGTTAAAGGCTCATCACAGAAGCACTAAACCTAGGTTGCTATGCCATTTCAGCAAAGTCAGGCTGTTGATCTCACAGTGATACTTCCTTTTGGTGGTCCTGCTATTTAGGCAGATGTAAAGGATGCCTTGGCATTATTCAAAGAAGAATGGAGGAGTTCTCCCAGTTTACTGGCCAATATTTCTTCCTCAAACAATGCCAAAAAATAGATTGCCTGGCATGTTGCTGCATGCAGAATAACTGTCACATTTACCCATATAACATCAATGATTACATTTCAAAAGTAGCCAACTGGTTGTAAAGCACTTTGAGACAGCCTGAGTTGTTTGTAAAACATTATATAAATGCAAGTATTTTCTTTTTTTCTGGTGACTCATGCTAGAGGACAGTCTGGTAAATACTAAGTACATCTCACCTGCCCGGCTAACCACCTTGTTTATTGTAAGACTGAGCACGGACCGTTGGTTTGACCTGACCATCAGAGACAAACATGATCATGTCTACACTCCATGTCAACGTATATTTTTCAAACTGTAGTCATTGGACAAGCACTGGGAGCCAGAATCTTGCTTAACTGTATTTCCCATACTCTGGAATTAGTTTAAATGTTTCTGTTAGCTGAGACCTGATAACTCAGTATGATCCTGGTGCTGAGTATTCCTGATCTATGTGGCTAACACAGCTCATTTGTTCTACTGAACTATCCCCTAAATGTATATAAATATAAACCTCCACACTCTTACAATGACAGGCAATACACTCCATCTCCCTCTGATGGAGTTTGCTTTTAGTCAGTAAATGCAATTAATAAATGTTAAAATCGTATTTCCGGTGGTCTAAGTCAGGGCCTTATTAACGTAATTTTGCGTGTATTTTCATAGGACACAGATTCATCTGCCAAGGCATTCATAGAACAACTGTGGCCAGAAACGAAAGAGCTTGAAATCAGGGAACCTGAGGAGGTCACTGCAGTGAATAACACTCAAGAAAAGGTGGAGGACAGGCTCATTCAGCCTCATGACAAGAGTGATATTGAGGACAAGTCCCTGCCTGGCACAACAGTAAAGCCAAAGTTTAAAGGACCTCAAAGAATACACAGTCTTCCTGATCTCTTCTTATCGAGTCCGCCTCCCATGATTGAAAACAGCACAGAAGTGTTGTGCCTGAATGCCACAAATCACATAAATTCCAGTGAAGCAAATAGCACCAAGATCTCTGATCCTAGTTTGGCTCAGCCACAGCTGAGTCCATCTACTAAACCCTTGAGTGAGTGCTCAAAGACAGAGATTTCTCAACCAATATCAGACGCAAATATTTTGATGGCACCAATCGAGAGCCCAACCAAATGGTGCACAGGAGTTTCTATGGGTTCTTTTATCTCAAATTATCCTGAATCTAATCTAGATCAACAAAATGATCCTAACTCAAATGAAAAGCATCAATGTCTGATTGCCCCCATTGAATTAAAGCCTTTGGAGCCTTGTGATCAGGATGGAATCTCTAACAAACTTGAATCAGATGCCAATGTTTCAGGAACATGCTTAGAAGATGTCTTCTCCATCCAAGCAGAACAGGCAACAGTCAATCTGTCAAACAACGAATGTGATCAAAAGGAGCAATTGGTAGGTATTCAGTTCAATCAGACACCTGCAGAAGCACAGACTGAAGCCAGTGAGCTCCTGCAACTGGAAAACTGCATGGTCAATGAGACTTTAAAACTGTCTGGCTCCCATTCACCCCAGCTGGATCAAGATGCGCAAGATGGGAAAGAATGTTCGACATTAATGCCTCCAATTGAAATCCCAGGTGAAAGGCAGGAGTCATTATTACCTGATGTTTGTACAGATATAATAGCTCCTAAAGATCTTTACAATCATTCATCTCAATCTGCTAACAAATATATTGAGTGGAACAGTCAAAGCCCAGAGTTTTCTTCACAAATCTGCAATGGAGAGTCTTTTGAAAATAGCTCTAATCTAACCAATTCTGTACAGTTCCCAAATGAAGTGGAGGGAATCTCTATACATGACCAGCTGCATGTTTCACTAACTGAAGACAATTCATTATCATCAAATGAATCAGACAGTTTATGCATTATAAATGCAGGGGTGACACCATGTTTGAAGCCAACAGAATCTGAACCCTTAAGGATAACATCTGATAGAAGTGAGGAGTGCTGCTTGAAGTCTAATGATGAGGCCTCATTACTTGTCTTATACCCCATGGTTAATGATAAGCCTCCTATCTCTGATGGTTGTACTATTCAGTCAATCCCAATTGGTGTCACTGCTGTTCGAATGACTTACATGATAAAGACATGTCAAGTCAAAGCCATTCCGGTTATTCCACCAAAACTCCAGTTCACCCAGATCCCCCAACCTTTGGCAAAAAAGAATCTCTCTTCCCCTGCACTCCCTTTGGATAAAGTGTTAACAATTTTGCAACCCATTACAGCACGTGAACGGAGCAGTCCTGAAAGCAAACGTAGATTGGATTTTTCTTTAATAAATTCTTCAGCAGCAGAATGTAAAGATGGGAAAGAAAATGGCCTATCTGGACATGAAGGTTCTACCACTTCACCAGATACCTCACTTATGCAGTCCAAAACCACCGAAGCAACACCAATTGGGAAAAGAACCTGCCAGTCAAATGGGGAAGATGTATTCAACAATCCAACATCTTCTAGAATGGAAAGATCTCCAGTTCAGCAAAAACCTGGGTTTCTGCGGCATGCACAGCACAGATCAAAGGCAGGTCGGCCTCAAAGCCTCATCCTATTCAGTCCACCCTGGCCTAACATGGAACGTCCTTCTCCACTAGACACCAACAAGGTGCTTCTTAGTCCAGTGCAGTCCAGCCCTGAACAACTTTCACCATTAGAATTGGATCACTCAGCCCCTGACAGCTACATGCATGAACTTAATGACAGTCAGAAGGGACCAGATGGTGTTACACTCCGAAGCCGAATGAGCATGCCAAAAAATGGGCAGAGGTTGGAGACCTCAACAAGTTGTTTTTACCAGCCTCAAAGGCGGTCCATGATATTTGAAAATAGAGGGGGCAGGCAAATTGAATGACCCCCTTTCGCTGATTCTACAAACTTCAGACTGGCAAATACACAAGATTTACTTGTTATGACATTTTTCAATCACAATCTAAATGTATTCTACCATCTACTGCTCAAATGTCTGTGAAAGTTTGAAAATATGCATTAGAACAAGCACAAAACATAAGATGTGATGTAGCTGGATTTGTACAAGGTGAGAGCTACAGGTTATTTGGATTAGGTCTTTCATAAACAAAATGCACAAACCTGAGTCTAGCGCTGGATTACAACACAACTTAACCATGTATGAGTTAAAATGAATCAGGATAAATCCAAAATATACAAAGTAATGACCAAACAGTTCTTTAAAAGTACATTTCATATACCTACTCTAAACTAAATCTGTGCAACAAATGTGAGGATGAGGTAATTACTGTCAAACTGTACAGTACTCATCTTGCTAACAGCTCATTTCTCATTTCAGTAGAATGGGTGCCCTTGCCTGATTTGCTACAAGGGATGCATTACTGTAATATTTATTGGAATTTGTAGTGAATCTCATATGAGGATAAGTGGAGACATTTTACCATGAATGTTACGAGCATGGAATTGTGCATCATTGGTGTTTTAACACACTTAATGATTGACTTCATCAACATCCTGTTTTGTTTATTGCTTACTTTACCTGTTGATCTATTACACTTTGTAACAGAGCAACTTCAGTTCAAATTATTGTACTTTTCAAATTTATACTGATCTATTATACCTCATAGAAAAGAAAGCTATGGAGAATTGTGTCACTCATTTTTTGGCTAAAGCAGATAATCTACAAAAGATATACTACTGTTTTATTTATCTAGATTCAGCCATCTCAGAGGATAGACAATATCAGTGTTTTTCTGTAAATGCTTCAACATCTCAGTTTCAATGTTTATGTCTCTCTCATGTATTGAAATTATTTCTATATTGTCAAATATTAAATGTAAGTATGTTTTCCAATTCTGAGAATTAAAATGTTTTAATAACAATATATTTCTCAAACATTTTGCCATTTTTATCTATTTTGTATCCTCAAGCGTTAAATATTGATGATAAACTGATCTGAATGTTAAGACCCTTTTAGAAACAGAGATGGAGGGGATCAGAAGCATACAAGCCTGGCTGTTATGTCAATTTCCCGTACCCAGTTCTGGTGTTGGCCATTTCGACTGAGATGTGTTTAGGGCCCCAAAAGTAAATAATGAAGACCAACTGGGATTTTCTATGTGTTGACACAGAGGTGAGAATCTTTAGGCAGCAGGACCCAGGATTGTGTAATCTTCTTCAGGAACACATGGAAAAGAGGGTGGTGAAGGTACAATAGGCTGTCCACATTTCTCTTGGTTGGGGATCTACATACTACAGGATCACCACCTCTGTAGTAAAAGACAGAAAACTCTATACTTTGCAAATTAGAATGTTAGAACCACATGGCTAATCTTAAATACAGTTTGGTAAGACGAAGTACAATCCTATCACGTGCACAATAAAACTTCCAAATATACCATCACCCTCAATGAGACCTGCGATCCTGGAAAGGGGCAGCTAAAGAAACAAGGAGGAGGATATATCTCCTGGAAAAGAAAGGCAAACAATGACTGTCATGACCATGGAGTTGTCTTTGCCATCCAGAATGGAGTCCTGGCTACACTGCAGGAATTTCCAATTGGAAAAATGAAAGATTCATGACACCTCATTCACAGTTCAGCTGGAAGCAATATGGCATTCTTGTCAGTGTTTATGTCCTGACCCTGACTCAGAAGAAGATGGGTGAGAAGTTTGATTCTGCTTTTAATGACATATTCACTACCATCCCAATGGAAGGACAGAGCATTGTACGTCTGTGGAATTTCAATGCCACTATTCCGATGAGAGGGGCAAAACCATTGAGAAAAATGAAGTGGGAAAAGACAATGCGAATGATGTCTGCTTGCTGCTAAATGTGTTCAGTACGGCCTCATTGCAGCAAACAACTTCTTCTGCCAGAAGAACAAGTATAAAACCACTTAGAGGTATCCATGGTCAATGCACTGGCACCTTTGGCTTTATGTCGCTATTTGGGTGAAGAATCTAGATGATGTCTGTAATGCTCAATTTCCCAAACACCCCCGTGTTTAACCCTTGCCTTCACATCCTTCAAGTGCCCAGCATTGGCAACCATAGTCACAATGGACTCAACTGTCTTACATGGGTTCAGTAAACCTTTTGGCTTTTATGAACATATAACAAGCAGCAGAAGTAGACCACTGAGTACCTGATTCAAATCCACAATCCTGCTTACCCTAATATCCTTTCACCAAACTCCATCACTTACTTTCCAAAAATCTATTTATCTCTACTATAAAACAAATTAAAATTTTCAGGAAGAGATTTTAAATATCTCAACCCTCTGTGAGAAAAAAATTCAGCACATCTATTTTAAATGGACAAACTCTGATTTTTATACAATGACCCTTGGTCCTAGATTTGCCCGTAAGAGGAAACATCTTCTCCACATCCACACTGTTAAGATCCCTCAGGATATTATTTTTTCAATGAAGGCCCTTTTTTTAATATTCTAATGGATACAAGCCTGGCCTATCCAACCTTTCCTCGAAAGACTAGCTGGCCATTCCAAGTATTAGTCTGGTAAATCTTCTCTGATCTGTCTCCAACACATCTACGTCCTTCCTTAAATAAGGTGACCAATGCTGTATGCAGTTCTCCAGAAGTGGTCTCACCCCTGCTCTACTGAAATATAAGCTCCTTATTTTTGTGTTCAATTCCACTCACAATAAATTTTAAAAATACACAAGCTTTCTTAAATTCTTGCTATAGTACTGCATACTAGCCTTTTGCAATTCATGCCCTCAGACATCCTGATCCCTCTCACCATTTGATGATATGTTTTTTTTTAATCCTCCTGCGAAAATGACTTATTTATGTCTACTCTCTGCTCCCTAGCCAGCCAATCTTCTATCTATCCTAATATGCTACCTTCTGCACCATTAACTTTGATCTTTGATGTGGTACTTTATCAAATACATTTGGAGATCTAAGTACAGTGGATCTACCAGTCCCCCTTCACTACCTCAAAAACTCCAATAAATTAGGTACAGGGCTGGATGAACACAGCAGGCCAAGCAGCATCATAGGAGCAGAGAGGCTGACGTTTCAGGCCTAGACCCTTCATCAGAAAAGGGGGAGGGGAAGGGGGTTTTGAAATAAATAGGGAGAGAGTGGGAGGCAGATAGAAGAGGGATAGAGGAGAGGATAGGTGGAGAGGAAACAAACAGGTCGAAGAGGCGGGGATGGAGCCAGGAAAGGTGAGTGTAGGTAGGGAGTTAGGAAGGGGATAGGTCAGTCCAGGGAGGACGGACAGGTCAAGGGGGCGGGATGAGGTTGGTCGGTAGGAGGTGGAGGTGCGGCTTGAGGTGGGAGGAGGGGATAGGTGGGAGGAAGAACAGGTTAGGGAGGCAGGGACGAGCTGGACTGGTTTTGGGATGCGGTGGG